AAGAGACAGCGGGCCCGGTGGGTTGCGGAGCTGCAGCAGCCCTCCCCGGGCAGCAGCTCCTCCTTTGGCCTGGACGAGCTGTCCAGACCCCACATTTTTCCAAGAGAAGGGCCCGCTCGCTCTCCTGGCCGGTCCCAGCTCCCACACCGGGGCGGCCGTGCCCTGCCCGTCTCCCACCGGCAGGTGCAGCACACCGCGGTGGCTCGGGGGAAAGGCCAGATCCTGCAGGTTAACCTTTTGGGAGGCTGTGTTACAGTCGCCAGGGAGCTGGTCCTGGGGTCTGCTTCCAGTGTCCCCAACCCAGCCCTGCAGCCCGGTGCCCTGTGGAGAGCAGCTGGGCTGGGAGGGCCACGCAGCAGTGGCAGGGGCACGAGGGGGAGAGAAAGGGCAGGAGCAGGCAGTTCCCCGTGGCTCCGCATCCCCTCGCCGGCTCTAACAGGTTTCTCTGCTCCGCTCAGGCCACCCATCAGCACCGGAGGGGTCCCAGCCCGGCCTGGGGGGCTGTGTTGGCACAGCTGGGGAGCGGTGGGAGAAGCAGAACCGGCTGCAGACAGAGATCCTGGAGTTGCAGAAGGAGACCTTGCAGCTGCAAAAGGAGAAGATCCTGCTGGAAAAGGAGAAGCTCTTCCTGGAAATCATCAAACTCCGCAGGGAACTGGGCACCTGACAGTCCTCTGCAGGCGCTGGGGCGGCCCAGGGCCACGGTCCCCACTGTGGGGATGGGGACAGCCCGCTCCTCCGGGGGTGGGCACTGGCTGCCGCCGGGATCCCGTGGGGTGAGGCCAGGACAGCTGCGCCGTGAGCTGCCCTCTCCTTCCCATCTCCAGGCCCGGGGCCATGCCTATCTTGGGCTCCCTCCTGCCTGCTGCCTGCCTGCGTGCCCTCGGCCAGCCCAGCGGGAGCCAGCCCTGGTGTGGCATGTCGTCCCACCGCCACAGGAGCCTCGTCCCGCCGAGGCGGGTTTGGATGGGCAGCAGTGGCGGGGTGCTCACAGTGTGGGCATGGCCGCCTCCACTGTCACCCATTTCCCGGGGGACATTTAATGGCTTGGAGCTCCCCGAGCGTCTTGGCAGTGGCAGTGTGGGGCTTGGGCACTGCTGGTCGCTGCAGGTGACCATATCTGAATAAAGGTGATCTCTGCAGGTCGAGTGCCCAGTGCTGTGCCTGAGCGGGGTGGGGGTGAAGTCACCCAGGGGGTGGTTTGGGAGTGCAGGCAGGTGCCAAGGCTGCCAGCATAGTGTCTCAGCTGTGGGTACCACCGGCCAAGGCTGGACCAGGGACCCCCACCAGCAAGGTCATGTCACACCGGGCGAGGAGTGGGGAAGGGCACCAGCACAGCCCAGCATCACCCAGTCTGGCCCCGCTCCTTCCAGTGGGGGATGCTGAGCCCTGCGGCTGGACCTGGACACAAACCAGCATCATGGCCCACGTGCAGACTTTGGGTGCCTATGTTTAATTTCTCTCTGTAAACCACAGCATGCAGCTGAGCCACTCTTCGTGGTTCATCCAACAGTTCCCTGCAGTCGGGCCAGCCTGAACACACAGAGGAAGAATGCTAGCTCCATCCTCGCTTTGCTCGCCGATGGCAGCTCATTGCATGGTGTGATGTCATGGCTGAGCGTGACATCATTGCATTGTCCTCCCATGTCACTGCCACGTCATCTCACCCAGATTTAACCACAGCATGATGTTCTTCCACCATTAATCACCATACTTTGGCAATTCCCTTACTTTTTATAAGCAGGGGTTTCTTCCCATTCTTCAACACAGTACTTAATGGAAAAAAACAGGGAGTCAGCACCAAGGGCAAGCAGCAAGCCTGCAGAAAGGTGAAATTATAAAAGACACCACATTTTTCCTGCCTCCTCAGCAACAAGCAGTGGCATGGGGAAGCTCAGCTCGTCTTCCTGGGGAGATGCTACATGAAAATGAGAGCCTGCGGGGAGCAGACACAACCCATCCTGCAGCCCTTCCTGCACCCATGAGCCCTGGCACCCTGCCACAGAGGTGGCGACCCAAAACATCCTGGAAGGGAAAGCTGGTGAGAGCTGGGGTGTGCCAAGAATAAGTAAATATAATTATAAAAGTATATATATCTATCTATATATATTACATATGTAATAATACATATTGGGAGTTGGACGAAATGATCATTTTATGTCCCTTCCAACTGAAATATTCTATTTAAATGTATTTATTTTTATATGATATATTTTTGATTTATAGTACATCTTATTGCTTTATCATATTATGGTATATTGTAATATCCTATAGTATTATGGCAGATTATAATATTGTGGCATATTATAATATTTGTTTTATATATAAATATATTACATTTATAATTAAGGCTATAAAAGGAAGATGCCTTAGGTGTATGGAGAGATGCTCCTCCATGGGAGGGATGTCCCTTCGGAGGCACAACACACCTTAGAGTGCATTGTGCCTGTCCTGGGTTTGGCTGGGATAGAGTTAATTTTTCTTTTTAGTAGCTGGAATAGTGCTGTGCTTTGGATTCAGTATGGAATTTGGTATGAGAGGAATGTTGATAACACACTGCTGTTTTCAGTTGTTGCTAAGAGATCAAGGACTCTCCAACTCCCCATGTCCTGCCTGTGCGCAGGTGTGCAGGAAGCTGGGGAGGAGCACGGCCAGAGCACAGGGCCCAGACTGGCCAGTGGAATATTCATATCACGTAAGGTCAGGCTCAGTATATAGAGGAGGGGTAGCTGGGAAGGAGGGGGTTCTCTCTTGCTTCTGGGATTGTGACTGCAGGATCTTGGCTTTTTCCAGGATCGCTAGCCGGGGACAGGCTGGGTATCGGTCAGTGGGTGACGAGCAATCGCACTGTGCATTACCCGTTTGTACTTTCTATTATTGTTATTACTGTTTTATTTCAATTATTAAACTTTTAATCTCAACCTAGGAGTGTCCCTTCACCCCTCCAATTTTCTATCCCATCCCCTGGGCAGGTGAGGGTGAACAAGCAGCTGCATGGTGTTTGGCTGCTGGCAGGGTTTAAACTACAAGTCCTTTTTGGTACCCAACGTGGGGCACGAAGGGTTGGGATAACAACAGATCTGGCCAGAGGGCATTACAATGCATTGGTTATAATCATTCATTATGTTGTTTTAATAGTTGCTGGTCATATGTTGGGGTTTTGACTCTTAGAGTTGTGGCTTTCATTCTTAGAGTTGTGCATCACCTCACTGGCCGTATATAGCCCTCTGCTACTGCTTATCACCTCTGGGATGTGGATTGAGATTTTTGTTTTGCTGTACTATGTAACACTGGTTTATGGCACGATAAAGTTGTTGGTCCTGAGACTAGTCCAGTACTTGTATTCAGCACTGTCATTCCTTCTGTACTTCGGGGGTCATCTACCAGAGAGGCTAACAACTACCTGCTTGACTTTTTCTCCTAGGAAAGCCAGTCCATGAGGGAGACCCCTTCCTTCACCTTCCCCTTCTCCTCCAGGCTACTTAAAACAGCATTTGAGAATTTAGAAAATTTTGAATATCCTTGGAATGTTGACACTAACACGGTTGTCTTATTGCTGGGAGCCAAGCGTGTTCCTGCATGTGGTTCAGGTTTTGTTCAGGGTTAAGCAACTATTTAAGAGTATCACCTGGAGATCTAGCCTGAGGCTGGAGAGTTATGAGTGGCAGGGACAGTATCTAGGAGAGTGGACACCTCTAATTTTCTGGAATTTTGCCCCTGAACAAGTTCAGAATCCCCAAAACTAGTAAAATATTTAGAAAAAGTATGCTGTCACCCTGGCAATTCTAGAGAGGCACACATCGCTGCAATGTGCTGGGGCCTGGCCCATGCCTGCCGAGCCCTGCTCAACACTATTTGGTACCCTCAAGGGGAAGAGAAGGTCTCTGGACCTGATAACAAAATGACAGGTGCTGCAGCCACCCCAACCCCTGCAACAGGCGCTGCGGCTGGACCGAAGGACCAACCCGTGCCGGTATCAGTCGCCCCCAGATGGAAGAAGAAATGGACACAAAAGTCATCACATTTAGAAAGGGATGAAGATGCTCCTGCTAAGGAGAAAGAGGAGGAGGAAGAGGAGGAAGGAGAAGATGATACAGTAACCACCTCCACCCTATCTTTATCCCTGAGCCAGCTGAGGGATATATGAAAAGGTTTCAGCTGTTAGCCAGGCGAGCCCATTGTCACTTAGCTGCTCAGATAACGGGGTGAGTAGCTTGGATTTAGATGGTAAAGAAGCCAGGCAGCTGGGGTCCCTTGCTAGGGAAGAGGATATTGGTAAAGCAATTGGAAAAGGGGAGGGAATCCATAGACTGGAGGCAGCTCTTGTCAGTGTGAGGGAAAGGTATCCCTACAAGGAAGAGGTTGATGTAATTCGGGCACGTGGGTCAATATAGAGAGGTATTTGGTACCTGAGGGAACTAGCTGTGTGGGAGGTGATTTATTACGACCCAGCCAACACGCAGTTACCTGAAGACCCAGATGATGTCCCATGTGGACAAGCCACATGGCAGAAGGTTGTACGGAGCACACCATCATCATATGCCAGCTCACTGGCAATAGTAGATTTAGGAGGAGATGATTAGGCACCACCCGTGAATGAAGTGGCTACTCAACTCCGGCAGTTCAATGAACATCTCTCATCCTCCCTATAGGCCTGCATCTCAGCTGTGGAGAAACTACCAGGCAGCCTGGAGAAACATGGAGAAACTGTCTCGAAAGTTTCAGCAATTTGAAGGTAAGTTCAGCCCCCCAGCTGAAACACAGCTCCTCCTGGCACCCTGACTGCCAGTGCTGGGCTGGATGTTCAAAGGGAGGGTCCCCTCTACACACCATGCAACTGATGCCACGTGGAGTAAGTGGGTCACACTGATCCTACAGTGGGTTTGAATAGTGAGCCCTAGCAGCCCAGGAATATTGGAAGTGATCAGAAACTGGCCAGAAGGCAAAGATTTTGGAATGCACCAGAGGAAGATGTGACACGTGCTGAAGAGGCCCCACCATATAATAAACTACTAGATAATGAGAAGCAGTATGCCCTGTTTACCGACGGGTCCTGTTGCATTGTAGGAAAATACTGAAGGTGGAATGCTGCTCTGTGGAGCCCTGCACAACACGTTACAGAAGCTGCTGAAGAAGGTGAATCGAGACAGTTTGTGGAAGTGAGACCCATCCAGCTGGCCTTAGATATTGCTGAGTGAGAAAGGTGTCCGGTGCTCTATTTCTACATGGACTCATGGATGGCAGCAAATGCTCCGTGGGAGTGGTTACAGCAATGGAAACGAGGCAATTGGCAGGGCAGAGGCAAACCTGTCTGGGCTGCTAATTATGGCAGGATATTGCTGCTCAGGTGGAGAACTTGGTTGTGAAAGTATGTCATGTAGATGCTCATGTGACCAAGAGCCAGGCCACCAAAGAACATTAAATCAACCAACAGGTGGATCAAGCTGCTAAGATTAATGTGGCCCAAGTGGACCTGGACTGGCAACATATGGGTGAGAAATTTATGGCTTGCTTGGCCCATGACTCCTCAGGCCGTCAGGGAAGAGATGCAACATATAGATGGGCCCGTGATCAAGGGGTGGACTTAACCATGGGCACTATTACACAGGTTATCCGTGAATGTGAAACAGGTCCTGCACTCAAGCAAGCCAAGCAGTTAAAAACTCTTCGGTATGGAGTATGATGGTTAAAATATAGATACGGGATGGCCTGGCAGATTGATTATATCATGCTCCCACAAACTCGGCATGGCAAATGCTATGTACTCGCAGTGGTGGAAACAGCCACCAGGTGCTTGGAGACATATTCTGTGCCCCATGCCACCACCTGGAACACTGTTCTGGGCCTGGAAAAGCAAGTCTTGTGGTGGCATGGCACCCCAGAAAGAACTGAGTTAGATAATGGGACTCATCTCCAGAACAATCTCATAGACACTTGGGCTGAAGAACATGGCACTGAGTGGGTATATCACATCCCCTGGCATGCACCAGCCTCTGGAAAATTAAGCAGTACAATGGGTCGCTGTCCTGGGTTTGACTGGGATAGAGTTAATTTTTCTTCTTAATAACTAGAATAGTGCTGTGCTTTGGATTCAGTATGGAATTTGGTGTGACAGGAATGTTGATAACACTGACGTTTTCAGTTGTTGCTACAAGATCAAGGACTCTCCAACTCCCCATGTCCTGCCTGTGCGCAGGTGTGCAGGAAGCTGGGGAGGAGCACGGCCAGAGCACAGGGCCCAGACTGGCCAGTGGAATATTCATATCACGTAAGGTCAGGCTCAGTATATAGAGGAGGGGTAGCTGGGAAGGAGGGGGTTCTCTCTCGATTTGGGGATTGTTGTTCTGGGATCTTGGCTTTTTCCAGGATCGCTAGCCGGGGACAGGCTGGGTGTCAGTCAGGAGGTGGGGAGCAGTCACAGTGTGCATTACCCGTTTGTACTTTCTGTTATTGTTATTACTGTTTTATTTCAATTATTAAACTTTTAATCTCAACCTAGGAGTGTCCCTTCACCTTCCAATGCTGTATCCCATCCCCTGGGCAGGGGAAGGTGAGTGAGCAGCTGTGTGGTCTTTTGCTGCCAGCTGGCTTAAACCACGACAGCACCTCCGAAGGGGCTCCCCGGCCCCACACTGCACCTACCTGGCTCCTTGCAGCCCACATCTGGTGCAGCAGGGGCTGCGGTGCGGCACATCCCCTGACACTCAACACCCCCCCACTTGTCCCAGTGCAGGCAGCAGCTCCAGGCCTGCCCGTGGCAGGGGGGCCCCACCTGCACCAGGTGAAAATAGCTGCAGCAGCTGGTGAGGGAGGAGGCGGAAAGGGGGTAAAAGGCGGGGAAAAGTGGGGGGAAATGGTAGTTGGAGGGTAGAGGTTGTGGTGTTTTCTTGATGACGGGGGATGTAAAGGGGCTGTGGGTTTGAGGGTGCAAAAGGGCCATGGTTGGGGGCTTGAGAAGGGTAATGGCTCTGGGGAGGGGGTTGCAGAGGGGCCATGGTTTTGAGGCATGGGGGAGGTGGGAGGGTAATGGCTCTGGGAGGGTGCAAAGGGGCAATGGCTTTGTTCAGTGGGGCTATGGGTCTGTGGGGGCAAAGGGGCAATTGCTTTAGCAGCTGTGAAGGAGTCATGGTTTGGAGGGGTGGGAAGGGTGACGGCTCTAGGAGGATGGAAAAGGGCCACAGCTCTAAGAGGGGGGTGCAAAGGGGCCATGGGGCTGGGATGGGGGAGAAGGGTATGGGCTCTAGGGGGTGCAAACAGGCCATGGGTATAGGAAGGGGAGCAAAGGGGCCATGGTTTGGAGGGGAAGAAGGGTAATGGCTGGGGGGATGCAGAGAGGTCTTGCATCTGGGGGTTACAAAGGGGCCATGGCTGCAGGGGGGTGTGCAGAGGGGTCACAGCTCTGGAGATGGGAGGTGCAGGGGGGGCCCAGCCCAACACCTACCTGGACAGTTCCTCTGGCAGCAGCAGCTCAGCTCTCCCCCAGGGATCCCTGAAGTCCTGGTTGAAGGAGACGGGTAATATCTTGGCCACCCCTGGCAGAACAGCCAGGGGACACCCCTGGCAGAACAGTTACAGACACCCCAGGACAGGCAGCGGGGATGGCAACACCGGGAGACCGTCACACACGAGGGAGGTGAGCATCCTCGAGGGACCCGCGTTACCTTTGGCTGTCGCACAGGTCAGGTGCTCCCCCAGGCACCTGCAGCACTGCTTGAGGTTGGGACAAGGCTCGCCCCATCGTGCTGGGGCAGGACGGTGACCTGGCAGCTGCAGGCCTTGCTGCTGACCCTGCACGGGGAGCTGCACCCACTCCACGGCCCCCAGGGCCCTACCACGCAGCTCACCACTGCCAGGGGAGCGGGTGGGATGGGGAAGGGGGAAGGAGAGCTTCAGTGGTGTGAAGGATGGACAGAGAAGAGCAGGGGGGATGCAGCACAGGGGAGGGGGAAAAAAGGAGGAAGGAAAAGGGCCAGGGTGACCCTGGCAGCCCCTCTCCCCCAACCCCCAGGCAGTGGCACTGTGCACCGCTTCTGAGGGCCTTTACCCCCGCACCACTGCCGCAGCTCTGCATCGTGCTGACCTGGGACCCCACTAATCTCCCTGGAGATTAGGGAGGGCTGACTGCTGCAATTGTCCAGGGGGCCACGGTCAGCATCCACCCAGGTTTGGGTCCCCGGGGGGGGCTGGCTCTCCACTCCCCAAGCCCCTGCTCCCTGTTTGTCATCCCCAGCACAGCCCCCGGTTCCTGTGTCCCCATGCAAGGCACTTGTCCATGCAGGGCTTGTCCCCCTTGGGTCCCACACTGACATCTCTGAGGCTTGCAATGACAGCGCTACCACCAGCTGCAGACCAAAGGCCACCCCTGCAGGCTCTTATTGCACTGAGAGCAGCCAGACCTTCAGTGTGGAAAAAAGCGGAAAATTGGGATATTGCTCCAAATCCAGCGCAGCCAGCATCCCCAGATGCATCCCATTACTGCTCAAAGTATGGGGCTAACACATAATAGCAAACACCTGCCAGCCAGGCTGGCGTCCCCCAGCCCTGGGGACTGGCCGGTGCCATCCCCTCCCACCACTCACCGGTGGCACGGTAGCCCTCACAGCAGTCGCCCATGCTCTCACAGTACGAGTGGCAGTAGCAGTGAGGCCGGTGGGTGCCCAGGGCCCAGCAGGTGTTGTTCCTGCCCGAACAGCACCGGTGCCAGCAGCTGCCCGTGGCACCCACCAGGTGGCCGGTGGCCAGCAGCCAGGCCCTGCTGAGCAGCAAGCCCTGCATGGCACCAGGACCCCACAAGCCCCCGAGGGATGGCTTCCCTCCCCCATGTAGCCAAATGCTGGGCAAGGAGCGAGGGCTGCAGCAGCAGCACTGGGAGCCCTGGTCACACCACCCCTGGGCTGGGTGGGGGGACACAGCCCATTCCCTTCTGCTCCACCGCCCCTCACCATCTCAGCTCTTCACTCCATGGCCAGGGTGAGGATTTAACAAAATTAACCAGGATGGTTAATAAAATGCTGTGCATGGGACAATGCAACCCTGAAGCTGCCTGGGAGCATCTGTGAATGGGCACTATTGGGTTGAAGTTGATGCTTTCCCAGGAGCACCAGCTCGACATGATGGGGAACCGTCCCCAACCCTCATCCACACCACAGGAGCTGCTCGCTGCCTGCTCAGCACAGCCTGGACACCAATGCAGCTGCTAAAGCCAGACTGATTTTATTCAAATCGGGAATGTAAAACAGAATAATAATAATAAAAAAAAAAACCAACAAACCACCCAACCCTCACTGGCTTGAGAGCAGAAAGCCACAGGCAAACCATGCCTGGGCTTTCCTTCTCCTCCTTCACCCTCCCGTGTTAAGGCTGCGTTCATCACTGGCGGCAGGAGGAGGGACGGGTTGAACCCCAGCTCCCACACCCCCCAGCGCCTTTGGGAGAAGTTTGGCACAAATCGGTGAGGCTGAGCCCAGCATGGGGCAGGGCAGGGCTTGGGCCCCACAGCCACGGGTGTTAGTGGGTCAGCGTGAAGCTCTGAAAGCTACAGGATTACCTATGGGGCCACGGAGAGGCGGCAGGAGGGCAGATGGGGGGAATGTGGCAGAAGAAGGGGTTTGCACCCCTGGCCGAGGGGCCAAGTCTGCGGTACGGGGCTGTACCTCCTCACCCCGGCTCGCACACACGCCTCAACTGTAAACGGCAAGTGATGGGGGCACCCGGCTCACCCCGATCCTGGTCCCACGGTGAGGAGAACTAAAGGCCTGGCTGTATGTGCAATTTTGAGCAGCACCTGGTCAGCAACCTCGGGCTAAGCGGGACCCCAGGGGGTCTCAGTGCTGGCAGGGAGGAGGGAGGCCAGGGCAGTGCCAGTGGGTAACTGCCCTCCTGTCCCCAGGGGTGTAGAGGTGGTTGGCCTCCCCAGAGCTGCTGTGAGAGCCAGTGCATCGCTCCCAGCCGGCCCCAGGAGCCTCTGCCAGCTGTGATGCCTGGTGCACAGCTTGGCCACTGCGCCCACACGGCTCAGGGGGGCTCTCCGCACCCCCAAAAAGAGCCGGCTCCTAGGCAGCTGGCAGCTCCTAGCTGCTGGGGGGCCCTGGGGGCACAGGGCCACCATCCCAGGGGACACCTCACCCTGGATAACCAGCGCTTGGAGGTGATGCGAGACCAGGTGGAAGTGTCACCAGGGGATCAGGGTGGGCATAACTGGGATGCTGGGGGTCTGGATGCTGCTGCTTCCTCCCCACTCCTTTTAGCACACAACTAATAATTTAACCTGCTCCAGAGCCTGTTCCTAAACATAAAGGTGGCCGGGTGTGGGGGTAGGGCGTGCGTGTGGGGCAGACTTGGCCCCGGGCAGTGCCAGCGGGCTTGGTCACCACTCTCCGGCTGCAGCCCCGTGGGGCAAGGGAGGTGGGGGCTGCCCCGGCCCGGCCACCTCAGTCCGTTTTCCACACCTTGTTGAGGAACTTGACCACCTCATCGTAGATGACGAAGACGATGGCCACATCGAGGCAGACGCGGCCCAGACGAGGCACCGTGCCCTTGTAAAACCTGCCGGGGATAGAGGGGGGCCGTCAGGCTGGGTGCCCTCACAGCCTCCTCCCCACTCATCCTGCCCCCCCCCATGCCACCCCTCGCCCATCCCTGCCGCAGGGCTTACGCCAAGGGCCCTTCGTATTTCATGATCTGGTAGGCACAGTCCCAGGTGCTCTTGTACTTGTGTGCTTCCAGTCCCTGTGGAATGGAAAAGCGGGGTCAGAGGATGGAGCCAGGGGTACATCTGGGGCAATTTTGTGGGGGGAGGCAGAGAGCTGAGGGTGTGCCAGGAGGAACCAAACCACCTTCACTGCTGCGGGCCACCAAACTTGGCAGGGATGTCCCCACCTCCATGCAAATACTTCCCAGCACCCCCACGGCCCAGCTGAAAGGAGGCAGCATCCCCAGCCTCCCTCCAAACCTCGCCAGCATCGGGCACCTGCCCTGGGGGCTGCACAAAACAGCTCCCAAACAGTGAGTGACCCCATCCCACCACAGGCAAAGCGGTCCCACACTGTGCCCTGTGCCACACCTGCATCCTGGTCTTCACCACGTCCAAGGGGGTGTTGCCAAAGACACTCGCAGCTCCAGCAAGGGCTCCAAACACCCCTGTGACGAAGGGGTTGATGACCTTGTTGGGATCGTCCCCTGGTAAGGAGGAGAGGTTGAGGGCAGTGGTGGTGTGGGGATGAAGCACAGCATCCCCGAGGGAGCCCACAAGGATGGTCCCAGGTCTGGCTGCTCATGGTCAGGACTTGTACCATGCTGAGCTGGGGACCAGGGTCTTCGGAGGGGCCTGTCCAGCAGCACCTGCCCCACAGAGCACAGGCAGCACTGGGGGTCAGGGTGGGGGTGGAGGTGATGCTCTGGCACCAGGACTTTGCAGCACCATGAGCTGGGGCCCCCCTGCCCCAGCTTTCACCTTTCTCTACCATGAGAGGCTGAGCCATGAGAAGCAGAAGGTGTGCCAATGGAAAGCCCAAGCCTAGCTCCCAAGGACGGGCTGGGGGACCCAGCAATGCAGCTGGGGTGGCTTGTGGGGATGGGAGCACCATACCTTTGTACCAGTTCTTGAGGGAGGTCATGACGAAGAAGCGGATGGCCTGGTTTGATCCTTGCTTGAGGACGGTTGCGGTTAAGCCCTGGTAGGTTCCCTTCAGTCCTGCAGCAAGAGAGGGCATTGGAGGGGAGCACCAGCCTCACAAAGGCAGAGAAAAACCTCCCTGGGCCGCTGGTCCCAGCCTGTACCCGTCCCCCACCTCCCACCCCATCCCTGAAGCGTGGAGTAACAACTTCCCTGGGGACTCACCCTGTTCCCGAACGATCTCCCGGACGCCGTGGAAGAAGCCGCGGTATTTGGGCTTGGGGGAGCACTGGTCATGGATAAACTTGACCTGTGGGGAGACGACGTGCTTGTCCTGGCTGAGGCGAGGGGAGGTGCAATGGCCCCAGAGGGCTTCCAGGCACCTCTCGCCTTGCTCCAGGGATGGCCCCAAGATCAGAGCTGACCCACGTGGCCAGGCAACACTGGGTGAGACCATGGGGGAAGCCTGTGCCCACAGCCAGCCATGTATTTTGCAGAGGAAAACCTGGGAAACTGCCCCTGCAAGCAATCTACATGGGTTTTACAGTGCTAAAATGGGTGACAGGATGGCTCCTGGGTGGGGGGCTCCTCCCTGGAGCAGGGAAGGATCCACAGCCCACCAGACCTGACCTGTCCATGGGGCTTTCTAGCATCAGCTCTTCCCCTACAAAACCAGCCCGAGCAAACCCACCAGCCCTCAGGTCCCTGAAAGCTGGGCATCCCTGGCTCTCGCCCCCTCCCAACCTGGCCCAGGGAGGGGTGCTGGGGCAGGGGGACACTGGTGGCTGCTTCCCACCCACCTTTACGGTCTCCATGGGGCAGACCACCACCACGGCCTCGGCCACACCAGCACCCAGCCCGCAGATAAGGCCTCGTGTGCTGTCCAGCCGCCCCTTCTCATCTCTCATCTGGTTGCTGAGGAACTCGAACATCCCAAACCTGCAAAGGAGGCACCGTGCCAACTCCCAAGCACCCGGCTGGGGGGCTGCACACCATGCTCTGGGTCTGTCCCTGGGAGCAGCCACGCACCCTGCAAGACGACCCTCTCCATCTAAGAAAGCACCCAGCTTTGGCAAAATGCCCCAGGGGACACCAAGGACAAACCCGCCCCACTGTTTGCTGCTGTCTGAGGTCCCCCGCAACTCACCCCATGCCATGGGGGACACCTACCTGACAGCAGCTTTGGGGATGGAGCCGTACACCAGCGAGCTGAGCCCTCGGTACAGCCCTCGAATGCCATGGTCACGGACCGTCTGCTTCACACAGTCCCCTGCAGCAGAGCACAGCGGTGCCACCGTCACCCGCCACACCAAGGGCCACTGTGTCACCCCCACTGCCCACCCCACCAAACCCCGCTCACTCCCCCAGCTCCAACCAGGCTCCCTGGGAGCCTCCAGATCCAGGCGGCGGGTTGGGGCAAGGCACCGGGTGCGCGCTCACCGATGCCCTTGTAGCGGGGAGGGTTTGCCTTCTCGTCCAGCTGCAGCTGCGTCTTCACATACTCGGTGGGGAAGGTGATGCAGATCTCGATCCCTCCGGCCAGGCCACCTGGGTAGGAAAGGAGGGGACGCTGGAGCCTGGAGCAGCACCGTGCCCATCCAGCGCCACGTGGCTGCTGCTGGCTTCAAGACGGCTGAACCCAAGACCTCTGGCAGCCAGGTCTGGGCTGGGACACCATGTCCCTGTCCTCGACAAACCCCTGGGGACTTCAAATGACAGCTGGGCCCTGCGCCAACCCAGCACCCAGCAGAGGCATCACCACCTGGCCATGGCAAGAGCTGGCAAGGAGACTGCCCAAAGGGGTGGGAAAACCGGGCAAAACACTGCACCCAGAGCTGCTGTTTCAGCGTTGTTTCCCCTTCAGAGGCACCTCTCCCTGTCCATAGCCCTACACCCCACAGGTGAGCTGCCAGCACGGGGATTTATAAACCCAACGGAGCCTAACGGTGCCGCACGAGGCCCAGCACCACTCACGCAGCGCCAGCAGGAGCCCATTTGCAGACTCAGCCATGCCAGCACGGAAGCACAATTATCATCAAGGCTGTCTGGCCGCCCCAGGCTCACACGGTGGTGGCTGCTGGGCACTGATTACACCGGCTGAAGCCTTCCCACCACAGCCAGGGGACACGCCAGCACCCCAGCAACAAGTGGCACCAGATCTTGGTGCTTGGGCTCCCCTTGGCTCGCTCAAAGCGCTTGCAGCTGGCCCTGCCGTGAGCTGCCTCGCGGCAGGAGAACCAACCCTGGCCGGGCTGGGGGTCCCCGGGAACTGGGCTCTCTCCGGCTGGCAAACAACCGCCCAGCTCGTTTCCTTGCATCAAAGCACAGCCGGGTCCTGCCGAGCAGCAGGAGCTCTTTGTGCCGGTGCAAAGAGGAAGCACGGGGCCAAGCCAGGCTCCCCCAGGCCTCGCAGGAGCAAACCCCCCTGCAGCCCAGGCCAGGGCACGAGCCAACGCTGGGGCAAAGCCCCGGACCAGCAGCTTCCCTGGGACCGGGCGTTACACGGTACAATGCTGGGGAGCCCCGGGATGCTGCCGCTGGGGCTGGGCACGCACCAGAGCAGCCCTCGAGGGCCTCCTGGCTCCTTGCCCAGGGAGGGCAACTCAGGCCCCAGGCTGCACGACATGGCCCGGTGTGGGGCCAGGTTGGCTGCCAGCTTTCAGCCTCCCACACCACCTGCACCAGCCCCTGCAGTCAGCCATGTGCTCAGTGTGACAGCAGCGCTGCGGCTCCCGCCACAGCCACCCCCGGCACGGCTCTGCTACCGCCCAGGAGGAAGGGCCAGCACAAGGGCTGGGGGCAGTCGTGGGTTATCCTGCTCTGCAGTCAAGTGCAGACCTGATGCCACACAGCAGAGCACAGCTCTGCTTATCAGCACCCTCCAAAGTACCCTGCGAGGGAACACTGATAGGGGACAGGCCATGGCTGCTCCCTGTGACAGTACCAGCCGGCCCAAAGTCCTGGACCAGCAGAGAGCCACTGGCAAAGCTGCTCACCCAGTGCAGGGATGTCCTGGGAAGCAGGCTGGCATCCCCCAGGGCACTGCTACCTTCTCTCAGTGAAGAGAGGTGTCCTGGAGGGAAAGGAAAGCAGCCTCACTGTACTCCCTCCAGCAGCTGGGCAGCACCCACCTTACAACAGCCTTATCCTGGATTTTCCCCCAGGCACAAGCAGTAGTGGGCTGTGCTCCTCCATGCCAGCACTCAGCACAGCCGAGATGACAGGAAAGCCCAGCTCCACGCTCCAAGAGTAACCTCCTCCTCCCGCAGGCATGGTGGGGATGGGGACGTCATGGCACTGAGTACTGGTCCCCCATCCCCAGGGCAGGACTTGCCAGCCCAGCCTGGCAGCATCCCGGCCCCATGGAGCACTGGGGACAGAGCTCGATGCCAGCTCGGCTCCACCACAGCAGACAAAGGCCCCTTGTTTCCTGCTGTGTTCCCAGGAGGAGCCATAGCTGCTCAGCACCGGCCAGGCAGGCACCTCCCCGGCGGCAGCGATGGGTGACCACTGCCAGCCTTTACGCCTCCGCAGCGCCCTGTGCTTTGGTGGCGCGGGAGGAAGCTGTGGCAGCCGCAGGAAGGCCAGCTCACACCCGGCTCACACCCAGCTCACACCCGGCTCACACCACTGTGGCCGGCCACCGTCTCTCCTCTGCTGCGCCACAGGGGGACAGCCACCATCCCCAGCGTCCCCAGAGCAATCCTGCTGCTCCCCTCAACCCTGTCCCGTCCTCAGCATGTCCCGCAGGCAGCGCAGGTCCCACAGCAGTGGGAGCTGGGGGCTTGCCAAGCACTATAATTACTCCTGCAAAGTCAAACAGCTCCTGCGGGAAAAGCTGGCAGGTCCCTGGCGAGCAGTGTGATGAGAAGCAGTGTCCTCCAGCCGGGTGCAATGGTTCCCGAAAAGCTGAGTGCCAGCTGGCACCTCTCTGCGCTGCTACACACCACTGTGTCACCAGCCCCACTGCCAACGCAGCCACACAAACACCCCAGGTGCTGCCAAGGCCACTTCCCTCCCTCCTACACTGCAGACTTAAAGTGCTGGACATTTTAAGAGCTGTAAATGTTTGTTCCCTCTCAGTCCCCCAGCACCAGCTGCTGCTCCAACACCTCCAGAAGCCAGAGAGCAGGGAAACACCCGGGACAAGCACCAGCCCCTCGGTTCATGGCAGCCACACCAAATGGCGCAGGAAGGGATGCTGTGCCTCCTGCAACCTGCCTGCAGCCTCAGCAGCGGCCAGGATTAAGGGCATTTGTCCATGCAGGGGAGGCAGAGTGGCTCTGCCCAGCATCCCATGGGCAAAACCGCATCCACAGGAGCCTCTGAGGGCCTTGGCAAAGGTACAGGGTGCTGCTCCTGGGAACCAGCAGCCTCTGGGGCACTGGAGCCACCTGAGCTAAGTTGGAACTGGCTCCCCACAGCAAAACACAAGCTGAATGCAAAAGGTATCCCCAGCCCAGAGCCACCCTGGCCCGCTGCAGCGCACACACACACATGTGGCCCTGTCTGTGGCAGGAGACACCCCAGGACCTGAGCAGAGTGGCAGGGACATGGCTGGACGCCAGCACCCTGACTGCCTCTATCACCACTCATGGGGGACAGGGGAAGGGAGGGGACCCTGCCCGGAGGCTGCCCTGCTGCTGCACAGCCAGGACAGACTCCAACACCCCTTTTGGCAGCTGCGCACTGGCAAATTACAGGGCAGGCAAACAGGCCTGTTCAGGGAAATGCACCCAGAGGAGAATCATCTCCCTGGCCCTGCTCTGGGATGTGCTGCCAGGTCTCCTCCCTGCCCCCTGGTGTTGCTCTGGCCCCAAATCCCATGGGAAGGTGCTCCACAGAAGGCAGGGACTCCAGACCAACTCCATGACTTGGGGCAATTTTAACCCCTTCCCTCTCTAGAAGTAAGACCCATCAGAGGTCAAGCGCCCTCTCCACATGCTCTTTTATTCCAGCAGAAACCTTATTCTATGCAAATAAATCACCCTACTGCCCATGAGCAGCAGCCTCTTTCAGCCCCTCTCCCTCGCCAGGGCTGCCGAGTGCTTTGCAACCTGTTTACCCGGACTTTAACCAGCAGCTTCAGCTATTGCAACACTGCAGAGTCAGCAGAACAGCCCGCAGCCAGCACGCAGGAGGTGAAAGAGCAAGCAGGGCAGCCCGGAGGCCCAGCCAAGGCTTTTGGTTATTAGCTGGATACAGCAGAGGCAGAGGAGAGAGGATGTCCTTCAGGGAAGGACGCTCTGCCCGGCCCAGAGAAGGTCCCTGCGGCGGGGGGATCCCACGCCCGGTGTTAGGAATGGCTCCCTGCCTGCAGCATGCCTGCAAGCGCCCGCCTGCCAGCAATCCTGACCTCGCAGGCCCAGCAGGGAAGGGAAAGAAGGGAAAAATACCTGTTTGTCAGCCACTTGGCATGATTTTCCCAGGAAAAGTTCAGCTCTCCTTTGTGGAGGGGCCAGCAGAGTTATTCAGGGACATGACTGGGGAGAGTTGGCAGAAAGGAGAGGGGGTTTGGGGACAGCAGGAGGGTGCTGCCTCTGCAGTGCTCATGCAGCACACTCAGGTTCAGTCAATGACCTCAAATGCCATTAGTGAGCAGCTTCTGGGGACACCACCAGCCACCCCCTGACCAGCCCATCCCAGGGACCCCAGCTCCAGCACCCAGTGGGTGCCGAGGGCAGGAGGATGCAGCCGTGACGGGGAAGACGAGTAGAACCTCAGGGGCTGACACAAACCAAGGCTGCACAGCTGGGGCTGGCACTGCCACCCCTGCAAACCCCTACCCAGAGGGGTAAGTGCCCCAGCGAGCAGAGCACTCACTACCTTGCTCAGGAGCCACAGAGGGGCAGGAGGTGGCATTGGCCCTCTGCCACTCCTGCAAGTGGCTGTGCCTGCAAAAACATCCTGCTCCTGTGGACAGAGCAGCAGGGCTCTGTGCAGCTCTGATGAGAAGTGAGCACCTGGAGAGCAATTTCAGCCTCTCCATTTTAGGGGTAATTTCAGATGCAGATACACAAGCACTTGATTTCCATACAAAAAGCTCCTTTTAACTTCAGATTTGGCAGGATCCTTTCAGGCCTGAGGAAATTATTCCTAAGAGCCTGGAAGCAAAACAGCAGAGCTCCCACAGGACCCATGTCTGAAGCTTGCCCTTCCTGCAGGCTGTGTGGCTCAGGATGGAAGGAAGGCACAAACAGGCTTCCAGCTCCTCTCCAGAGCACCAGTGACCCCACTTTTTGGAGGGCACCCAGCCCACCTGCAGAAGGTGTGGGTGTACAGGGAGGGTGAGCTGAGCAGCTGAGATGTGACATGGGCCAGACGCTGTGGGCACAGCCAGCAGTTCTGCCCACCTCCTGAATGCTGTGCTTACCGTTCCTACCCTCATGAGAGCCCTTCCCTGTTAGTCAAGATACTTTTCAGAGCTGGGGAAATAAAAAACAACAACAACAGCAAAATCAAAGACTAGTAGGGTGCTACAAATCAAGAAGGCAGAAATGCCAGCTCATGACAGTTCTCTGCAGCTCAGGTCTCTCTGCCTGCTCCCTGCCACTGTGGGATCGACCCCTCCTTGGCAGCCATCCACGCTGCTCTTGAGCCATCATTAACATAACCCAGCTAAAGACAGTGGTGGAGAAAGCCTACCATGACCACAGTGGTGAAACGAGTTTTACAAGCCCCACCCTCTCAGCACCATCCCACCACGGGCCATCTTGTGAAATGGGCTCAGAGGCAGAGCCTGGCTCAGGAGCAGGCAGGCATCTTGCTAGGGACAGCACTCTGAAGGAGAGAGAGGTGGCTGTCAGCAGGGCTGAAAGGCCAGGCAGCTGGCTGTCAGCAAGGCTGGCGCTGCAGTCCGTGCCCGGGCACCTCCTCCTGCTGTGCGCAGCCCTCCACCACCCATCCACAGCCCCATCCTTGGGGAAAACCACCACAGGGACTGTTCTGTGGGAAAGGGTCTTATACGGTGCTGAGATCAGATCAGATAAGACCAGACTGCCAAAAGATTACCTGTGTGTCAGAAGGGAAAAAACACGTCTTGCAACAGGTCAGCCCATCTCAGAGAGCATCCATCCCTGCCCTGGGGCTAGGGCCCTTGGACAGTCTCCTATCTGATAGGGGCAAGGCCGGTGGGGGACACGGGGGTTCAGCATGTCCATCAGTAAATACACACATGGCTGCTTTCGTCACGGGCGTGTGCTATGGCCAGGCTGGGGAAAGTCTGATCCCCCACCAGAGATACACAGAACGACAAACATGAAACACACCTCTCTGTACCCTGTGCCACCGGGTGGATAAACAGCCCCGTGCAAACAGTGCTGCAGATAATGCTGGGGATGGGATGGAGTAATTTGTCCCTAATCTTACTGGAACTGTCCTGTTTCAACAGGCCACCCTTTCACAACCCGCTCATTCATCGCCTCTGCATTTACTTCTCAATGGGTCAATAATGCACTAAATCATTATTATATTTTAAACTTCTTAGCTATGAGTATGATGACAAAAGCCATTTCCCTTTGCTCACAGTCACAGCATCATCTGCCTTCAGTGATGACTTCACCTTTGGGAATTGCCAAGTCCCCCATCCCAGCTCAACTCACCTTCTCCCCACTGCCCTGCACACCC